CATTATTCGACTGCATTATCTCCTTCTTTCTCTTTCATACACATACATACAAACACCAGCGCATTCCTACTTTTTTTTTTTTTTTTTTTCTTCTGATTCTTAGTAAAATAAATTTCTTGGTTCCAGCTCCCGCTTCTAAAAAATTTGAAATGGAGAATCTTAACTGAAGCACAGTCGTATTTTGAACATTCAACCGCCATGATGTCTTAAATGATTTATATAAGTGCATAATCGCTTTTTTTGACCAAACGATTTTTGATCGAGATTAATATCGACCAATTTTATCGTCGTTTGTCGATCTATATTATTTTCAATAATTTCCATCTATTTTTTTTTTATCTAATCGAAAAAAGTTTTACATATAGTTTTACATTTTACATCTTTTTTGAAAGAGGCAAGTAATTTTTGCGGTAAAGGAGGGTATAATAAATTTTCGGCAGTTTCGTCAACGTAAATGACCAATGTGTTGACGTGGTGTCTATAAAAATCATATTAACCGAATATAATCGAGCGTAACTGGATTTAATCGAAGCTTATAAAGTACCCCTTCCCCAAAAATATCAAACCACACTCCCCGCCTTTGACACAATTGTTAGCTATTGTGTGTCTATATATTCAAATGCAATTAAATGATTGAGTTGCAGTATCAGTAAATGTTGTTCAGTTAAGATCTTGTGAAGGAGAATCCATTAAAAATATCTGCAAGAGAAAAAAGTTATCATGTTCGGAACGTTAAAAATATTATGTATTTTATTAAAATTGTTAATGCTAACGAGAACGCCCTTGCGCGGTATCTTTAGAGAATGAAGATATTCATATAGTACAGGGTCTCTTCAAAGGATATTTTCATGTGCCTTGATTTAAACTTGGTGTAAATAAGAAAATTTTTTCGTAGATAAGAGATGAAAAAAGATATATTTTATGTTACTGTAACTAATGAGAATTATTTGTCTAATTAAAACTGTTCATAAATGTAATACAGAAGTTTGATACTACAAAATATACAAAAATTTGTTTAATTTTGCGTTAAAACGTACACATTAAAAATATAATATTAGCACCATATTATGCTTACATATTAAAATGATATATATTTAATCTTAAACGTAACATAGTATTTGTTTTATTTAAGAATAAAAATTTTAAGAATAATAATTTCGTGTATTCTCTACATTAATAAAAACATATAACTTTTTGTATATTACGTGATTATTTTTATACATGATTTTCTTTAACTTTTAAAATTATTATTATTTTTTAAAATATTTTTAAACTTTTTTACTTTTTTAAACATGTTTTAATTTAATATTTTTTAATTTTTGTGTATAAAACTTACAATAAAATTTTTTTTATTTAACAAAACCAAGTACTAGAGTTTAAATAAGTTGCATAAATAATAAATCTATTAAATCTCATGTAGAAGATCTTTTATAATGCCCTTTCAGTATTATTAATTTTTTCTGGATCAAATATTTCAAGGTCAATAATATAGCTATAGTTAAAATTATAGCTAAATAGCTATTATTCACTGTGTCTATTAATTTATTGATTGTATTAATGTATAATAATGTATATGTATATAAACGTGAACATATACATATATTAACATATACATACATGCATATTTGAAGCGAAATACAAGTTGCAAATGTTTATGGCATTATGCTCTTACAATTTCACTTGCGTTGACATAATAATAAACAATATCATGAATCGACTTAATTGCAAAATATATTTATTTATTTATCTTTGGTACACACCGTTTTAGCCTTTGGTTTAGGCCTCTATATAATAATAAAATATAATAATAAAAATTAAATTTATATGAAAATGAAAATAATTAATTAGGTCATAAAAATATAAAAAAATTTAATAAGAAATTTTAATACAGAAATGTCAAACATTTCTATGATCACAAAACAATGATAATGAAATTAACATTATGTTGAATATAAATCTTAAAATTATCAATGAGATAACAAACGCTTTCGTGAAAATAGAAATCGAATTAAAGTAAAGTCTTACTTGAAGAAATTATTGTTATTAATAACTAAAATTCATAAAAACTGAATTATTAAGATAAAACTTTCAATTCAACAATCGAAAAGAAAATTACTTTATTTATGATTTAGTTTACTATATGAGACACATTTATAATTTTTTATTGGTTTTTATTTTTTATTCAACAGAATACATCATCTTTCAAGTTCTTCACACTAATAATTACCTGTTACAAGTCCAGAAATATATTGCGAAATATTTGAACCACGTGACTGAACAGTGTAGTCGGTAGAATAATTAATTTTAAACATGTTTATATTCTCAAAATTTCCTGATTAATTGCAAAAATTGTATCTACAAAGTAAAAATAAAATCGAATTGCATAAAAATTATTTTACTGAATGAAAGATTTTCATTTTTATACAAATTCGAAAAATGAAAAAATTGAATTAACAAAAATATTTCTCAACAAGATGATATATAAATAAATTAATTAATAATTTTTATTTAATAAATTAATTTGAATGAATAAATAAATTAATAATTTCTATTCAAATAAATAAATTAATAATTTTTATTCGAAATGATAGAGAAAAAGAACGGTGGATGCACTCTGTTCACAAAATATTTTAAATAAAATCAATCTTATTCTTTGCTAGTTATGTCGTTTCTAACTGGTTGCAAGTTTATATTTCTATATTTTTAATCAATAGAAAATTTCGGAAAATACTAACACTCTATAATCATTAAAATATTTCTATTCAATGTATGAATTTGATATTGCTTGTTTTTCGAATTTCAACTAACTGGCAATCAGTAAATCAAGACGGATGGTACGTCAGTTTCAAGGAAGACGTAATGTTCGTTGAAACTGATTAGTTGTGCACAGAGCATTTTTTTTCGTATGATATGTCAAAAAAATGAAATAGATCTCAATCCTTTCTTGTCAACTGGACCTCTACAACCTGGCTCTTACTATCCGTTAATATTCTAATATGCTTTTGAGAGCCTTACTAAAATCTTTGGAATATATGTTTCGTTAAAAGTCATTGAAAGATCGTTGACAATTACTGTCTCTTCTATTATAAAATATTCATTTTTGTCAGGACTAGTAATTTTATTTCTACGTCTGAAAACGCATATAGATTAGTTTTATTATTCTTATTTGATTATTTAAAATCAATACTGGTAGACGTTAATTTTTAGTTTGTAATTAATATTTAATTCTCTTTTGATTTAGAAGTATAATTTTAGTCATCGGATTTTATGTATTATATAGAATAATTATGGTAGTTATTGTGCCCTTAGTTTATTTTCTCACATAATACTTTCACATAGTAAAATATAGCATAATAAAATTTACCCGACTAAGCTTATTTTTTGTTCTAAGTTGCCAAAAATCCTAAGAAACAGCGAATACGAATTACAACATCAATATACAGGGTGTCCGGCAATGTGATGTCTACACTGAAACTGTGTATTCTTGATGTCATTCTAAATTGAAGTCTTAATACACATATGTCCTAAATGTCGACTGTTTTAAGTTACAGTGAAAAGACAAAATTGCATATAACAAGATAAGTATTATTTATTGAAGATGATAATTTTATTTACTAACGATAATATAATATAATAATTAACTACTTTATAAACTGTGCGGTAATGTAAATCATAAAGATGTTTTTTTTGTGCACTTGTATGGTAACATAAACAGTTTATAAGTGATGTTTTAGGATAAGTAAACTCAACGTATTTATATTGTAGAGATCGAAATAACTCTTTATTTGACTCAGGTACAGAACACGACCTTAGTTTAACCAGAGTGCGCCATCTCTAACTCAATTTAAAATGAACGAAACACAATAAGACAGTGATACAAATTAAATAACTGACACTATTATATTAGACGCGAATTTTTAAAACTTAAATTGCAAAAACATATTGATTGCAACATAAAGTAGTTAATTATTATATATTATTATCGTTCAATAAATATAATTATTATCTTTAATAAATATACTTATCTTGTTATGCAATTTCGTCTTTTTGCTGTGTAACTTTGAAACAATCGACTTTAGAGCATTTAAGGGCATATGTGTATTAAGACTTTTTCAATTTAGAATGACACCAAAATAAACAATTTCAATGTGGACATCACGTTGCAGGACACCCTGTATAATTGATTAATGTATACCACCATATATAAAAAATATACTGTTTTATTAAACTCGTATAGATTACAAAGAAATAATATTTTAAATAATTTGAAAACTTTCTTTTATTTTTAATGAATCCTATAACCGCTAAAATTTTTAGATGTGTCCAATAACTGTACAAGTTTCTTTCATTTTTTGTCGACGTGGTAGTTACTGTGCCCTCTTATACTGCACGGTATATGTATAATCGGCATATTTTAAGCACAGTATATTCTGAATTTCCACACAATACTTGGAATAGTAAAAAATCAAAGAAAAATACAGTAAATGAGACGTGTTACAGTACTCATGTACTGTAGTACATGAGTACAGTAAATGAGATCCATTTTTGTGATTTTTTGTTATCCAGTAACTAGCTTGAATCTCTTTTAATTGTATTTAAATTATTTAAAAAATTTTTTAAATATTTTATTTACAAAAAGATTTCTTATATTACAAAAAACATTGAATTATAATTTTAATACTTTAAGACGTAGAAAAAAAATTAAGAATCCTTTTTAAATTTAAAAACATGGAGGTGTAGCTAAACGGACACAGTAATCGGCACATTCATCCTACTATTTTTTTGTCAACAATTAAACAATTATTTTATTTTATCTTTTATCAATTACCGAAATTGGAAGTTTAACATAATAATTCTATATACCAACTATATTATTTTGAAACTTTTAATAAGTTTTACTTATTGTATATACCCCATTCTTATATATAATTATATATTATTATATATATTATATATATTTATGATTATAATTCCGTATAATTGTGATTTTGAAAGTTTTCAAGGAAGATAGCACACTATATCCAGGAAGCATCCCAAATGAATCATTTCCTCTTCGGACATTCGTAGAATTCAATAATAGGCTAACTAAGAAAAACATTTGTGTGACACTAAGGTAAAGTAGAATCCAAATTCTTAGATTGTATATTTTCATTCTTTTCAATTTAACGACACACACAATATATACATATATATATATAATAATATACACACTTCTATAATTGTTTGAATGCTCTTATATATACATTTGTCCTAAATTCTATTGTGAATCATAAAAACGTGTAAAGTGACCTTATATAAAAAACCTAACTCTTAATGTACTTTTTTTTTTACGTTCTATGCTTTACTTTGTTTATCTTTTATATCTTATATCTATCACGCGCTGACGTGAGGTTTTCACGATTATAATTTAAGGATTTCAAACAATTTATTTTAAATAGACCATTTTCACGTGTCCCATTTTAAAAAGCGCACCTCAATAATTCTTCAACAAAGCATTTTCAGCAAAAATGTTTCAGATAAAAGTTGTATAGTTTCGAGGGCGACATAAGAAGGTGCCATTCATTCGACCTTGAAAAGTTATTTAAAAGCCACGTAAAGGTCAACTTTAATTTCTTAAATGGAATCATCTATTTTTCATTGTATATTCTTGTGGCTTATCTCGAGACCTTTCCAAATCCCTATAATAAAGTATTTTTCATGAAGTATTCTTTGAGTTAGAATGGTTTGAAGTTAACAATTTTTTTAAATAAAATGTAAAAAATTCAATATTTATACCTTAAGACTTTTATGCACGGAATGATGAGACCCATCAATTGGTGTAAAGAAAATACATATAGTTGCTTTAAAAAAGATGTGTGTAATTTGTATATATTTTTTAAGAGCAACTATGTGTTTCTTTACACAAATTGATTGATCTCATTATTCCGTGCATAAATGTATTAAGATATGTTTAACGAAAACTGCATGAATATTTTACAAGATATTTTACATTTTGGAATAAAATTGTTATTCAAATCTTTATAACTCAAAGAGTATATTTCATAAAAAAATACTTTATTATAAAGGTTTGAAAAGCTCTCGAGATAAGCTACAAAAATAAACAATAAAAAATAGATGATTCCATTTGAGAAATTAAAGTTGACTTTTACGTGACCTTCAATTGATTTTTCAAAGTTAAATCGATGGCACCATCCTATGTCCCCCTCAAAACCATACAATTTTTGTCTGACAATGAAACATTTTTAGTTTGTTGAAGAATTATCGAGATGCGATTTTTAAAATGGGACACCCTATATATATATATATATATATATATATATATACATAATTTATTTTTTTTTTTATCAGAAATTTGCTAAAATTAAAATTTGCTAAAAATAAAATTAAGATATTTTACTTCTTTATAGATCGGACAAATTTAAAAATCAATATATCATACTATATATGATTCAGTATTGGAGCGAGGATCTGAATCAAACAATTCAAATAAATATCACGAATACTCAGATAATTAATCCATTAGAATACAAAGTATACGATTTAAAAGCTGATACAACTTACTATTTTAATATAGGAATGATGAAATTGTTTGATCGTAGTTCTTTTGTTAATTTCATCAATGTGTCCACCATGGACGAGAATCCGATACCTCTATTACTCGTCATCCCGTGGTATTCATTTGGTGTGGATATATTGGATGTAGATTTACAGATAGGTATTGAACTTGATACACAAATTATGTATAGAGATATCGTTTACTCAGCATTGGAACATAAAATATATGGAATCAGTAGCCAATCAGAGCTAATAACATTGGATTTTAATCCAACCGCAATCCAAACAAATCGAACAATAGCAAAGCTCAATGACACTGCACATCAACTCTGCTTTGATTGGATTCATAGAAAACTTTATTGGGTACAAAAATGTACAACGGGAATCTGCATTATAAAACTAGACTTAACATTGTTGGAACAAATAGGCATAGTAAAATATGATGAAATAAATATATCCAAGGAACAAGATCGTGCAATGTTTTTACATGTACTGCCATCATCAGGGTACATTAAGTTTTATACATGTAAAAAATGTTACTAACTTTGATTTTTTAATTAAAACTTGAAGTTATTGTATAATTTTTTAATGCTTTAATAATTGTTTTTTTATCACAAGGTATAAAATCATAAACTCACAAAGAATTGTAGAAATTTCAATATAATCATATATTATTTTCTGATATAATAGATATGTTATTAGTAGTGAATAATATGCGTACTTTTCAGATATATGTATTGGTCACTGTTTGGCTCGTCAGAAGTAATGCGATCGGATTTAGATGGAAAAACATGAAAACTCTTAGAAAAGACAATAAATGCTTTCGTAACGAACTATATCTAGAGTCCTACATCACCTTACAGACTGATACAACAAATATTGAGCCGCTATTATATTGGAGTAGTGTCAGTGACTTTGTTATAACAAATCTTGATGGTTGTAAATATTACAAGATTTCAAACTTTAAAAATATAAACAATTACAGATATTTAACGTTTGACAAAACAAACATTTACTTGTACGATACAAACGAAGACGTAATTTACATTTTAAAAAAATATATCCTCTTTTCGAATACAAAGAACATAAATTGGAATATGTACGTAGAATACGTTACCGAGAAAATGTTGCTTATCTCAATAAATTTATATCACTTGATAAAACTTTACAAACATATCCCCAGACGAAATGTTTGATACCTAACATGACAAATTATCGTATTGAAGTGTTAAATAAAACCATACACAGTATCAATGTAAGCCTTCCAGAACCATTCTCAATGACGGATGCGAAAAGTACGACTTACCAACTACTATATATAACATCTCTAGGAGTTATTTAACATGTTTGGACAAGTTTGGCAGTAATAAGTTCGAGCAATGCAATGTGACGACATACAAACGGCATTACGAATTCAAGAATTTAATGCCGTTCACAGAATATACGCTGAAGCTAGCACTGAGCAATTTTTACGTCCGCAAGTTATCAATGGACTTGCAATTCGGCTCGGATGTGAAAGTGATAACTACCGGAAAGCTCGACATGCCAGAAGATGTGACGGTTCAAGTTTTAACGCCAACGTTAGCGATAGTTTATTGGATGCCATCCAAGAAATTAAACTGCGTGACAGTGACCTACGAGGTGCATTGGATGGAATTTTCAAATAAAACGCAAGAAATAATACAAATGTCATCCATCACAAAACTTATCGATACGCTCGAACGTACAACAGATGGAAAGCTTTTCACGACAATCGGATCGCTGCTGTCAAAACATAATTATCAGATATATGTGCGTGTATATCCATACAATTTTAGTCAATTCTTCACTGACAGTTTAAACAAAACAATCTACATGTCAGAACCGAATAATTTAAGTTTAATCGGAGTCAGTACAAAAGTATGAATATCTCATGGATTTCTGGCGTCAATTTGACGATGCACACGAAATTCCGTCCCATACTGGAATACAAGGACGATGTGATGCGGGAGTGGCAAATTGCAAATATCAGTGAAAGAAATAATAATAAATAATATATTATAAAAAATTAAAAAATTATAAAATAAAACACATCTATACAATTTCCGTTTAATCCTGAGATACCCCAAATATATGGACTTTGTATGGCCTAAAAAAGGATTTAGATTTGGAACGCATGGTGAGTAAACCATACAATGATAATATGTATATGATATTACATGTATATGGGACGTTTCACGTCAAGTGGAACAGACGTCTGGGTAAAATTTGTGAAGTCGGAACAGATGTTTGAGGGCTTAAATTTTCATTATTTTATGTTGTTTAAGAAAAAATACCTTTTAAAAAGTTAAAGTACCCACTCCAATATGATGGCTAGAATACATGATAAACTTACTGAAAACATATAGTACTAAATAATTAAAAGAGAGTCAATTGCGCCGAAATATTTTCTTCCAATCTTAATTGTTATTATATGACACATGTTAAATATTAATCATTTCATTTTTTTTGAACACATTTAAATAGTACTAAAATAACGATAAAATTAGAAAGAAGAAATTAAAAATTTTTTTCAATTTCTGACTATAGATTCTTTATAAACAACTTGAAAACCCCCTAGAGATACCGAGTTTCATTGAAATCGAATGCGTTTTGATCGATAATTATATGTTTTCAGTAAGTTTATCATGTATTCCAGCCGTATCATATTAAAGTAGGTACTTTGAATTTTTTAAAAGGCCACATTTTTTCTTAAACAATTTAAAATAACGAAAATTTTAAGCCTTCAAACGTCTTTTTCTGACTTCACAAATTTTGCTCAGACGCCTGTCCAACTTGACGTGGAACGTCCCATATATACTTTAGGACTTTCTTAAAAATAAATTTTAATTGGAAATTATAAATAATAAAGTTCTATAATAATATATTCTAGAATAAAACGAAAATATTTAAATTGTACTTTTGTATAATAAAGGTGTACCAAGTGCTCCTGGGAGACCCATTGTAACAAAACTTCCAAATTTGACGTATCAATTAAACTGGGAACATGCGCAAGCTCATGATTCACCAGTGATTTTGTATCGACTGGAGGGTTTAATTGTCGAAAATAATGACAAAGAAGTCAATCGAACCGACAAAATCAATCATTGGAATTTATACTATAATGGAACAAATAATTATTGCTGGATAACGACGAGAGAAATGAATCAGAAATATCTTTTTCGTGTGCAGGCTACAAATGCTTATGGTTCTGGGAATTGGAGCGGCGAATCAAGAGTCGTTGATTTATTAACATCAATCTGAAATCTAATAAGAACGAAATATTAACTGTGCAATACGTAACGTTAATATTAAGCATTGTCGCTACCATCGTAATCTATAATGTTTACTACTTTTACTGCTGTGTGTTTATTTTTTACAGATTTAAAATAATTATAATTAAATACTATAATTAAAATTATTTTAAACATGATATCCCAGTAAGCAAGAAATCATTACTACAAGTTTATTATAATGATTTTTACTAACATAATAATGTTGTCAAGTATGTAATTTTGAACATTGAACATTATTATGAACAAACTTTGGTATCGATTTAGAGATTTCGGTAATGTTGAAATAACATTTCTTTAATCGAAAAATAAAAAGTATATTTTAATCTTCTATTTATTACAGTTTATTTTTGTCAAACCATTTGAATATTTTTATTAAAAATACATACAAAATACAAGAAGATAATCTAATCTAATTAATTCTTCAATATAATTAAAAATTCGACAAATATCTTTTGAACTTACAGATATAATATAACATTAATATTAATGTTAATAATACACACTGGAAGAAATCTTACTTTTTATTCTTTCATTCGTTTTTATTTTGTTTTTTTTTTTTATTATTCTTTCGTTTATTTGCAAAAACTTACTGAAAGATTATATATGGGTTCACATTGCATATTGGCACGAGTATATCGAAATCGAAGAACAAATAAACGTGTTAATAATATATAGGAACAATTTGACTTATGTTATTAAAATATTTTTAAAATATTTTGAAAGCAATATGTTATTAAATAATGTTTTTAAAACATTTAAACATTTAAATATAAACATCAGTTAAAATATCTTTTAAATATTATTAATACGTTTTATTAAAATATTTTAAACATATTTATAAAACATTATATCATAACGTTTAGAAAATTTATATAAAATCAACATTTCAAATGTTGATTAAATATTTCTTGCTTATGGGACATATAAGGAAATATAAAGTTTTTAAGAAGTTAGTTCAATTATTAAAAATGGTTTAAATTTCGCAAAGCATAGTATTGAATGTATTATAACGCTTATGTATCTAACAGGTAAGCACTGGCAACGCAAAAAAAGTAAACAAATAATTAGACCTCCAATAATCAATATTGAATCAACAACGGTGAACGAAACACCTTTCGCAAACTATGTACTCCACTCTATGCATGATCGTAAATTGCAAAGGGATATCGATGAATTTGCAAGTATAATAATCGAAAAAAAGCAAATCACCCTAGGAAACTTTCTAGACAGCGGCGCATTTGGAGAGGTAAAATTAATTTTTTATTTTTTTGTATATCCTCAAAGATTTTCCTTAACATCTTAATCAGAAAATATTGAGGCACATTTTTAATAAAAGTTATGTGAAAATTAAAATTTTTCATAAAAAATTTTGTAATAAATTAAAACATTTTTAGCATGCATTCTATAGATTTGTATTGAATATAAAATATATTTCAGGTATTGAATATAAAATATATTTCAGGTATATCAAGGAATTATCAAAAATGAAGAAGGTTCAGAAATAATACCCGTCGCCATTAAGATGTTACGAAAAAATGCTTCCTTGCAAGAGAAAGAAGTATTCTTGGAAGAAGCTAAACTTATGAAGGAATTTGACCACAAACATGTGTTAAGATTGTTGGGCATCTGTATTACCGTGGATTCACCATGGTTGATATTGGAATTAATGGAAGCTGGTGATTTACTGAAATATTTGAGAGAGACTCGAACATTGCATCCGGAAGATCCGCACGCCCTGCATATACAAGATTTGCTTGCCATGTGCGAAGATGTTGCTCGAGGTTGTCGCTATTTAGAAGAACAACGCTATGTGCATAGAGATCTCGCTTGTCGAAATTGCTTAATATCTTCAAGAAATCGCAAAAGCCGTGTTGTGAAAATCGGCGACTTCGGACTAGCTAAATATATTTACACCAAAGACTATTACCGTACGGTAAATACAATGCAATTATATCAAAAAGATAAATTTCCTGCATTAAAATAATATTACACATTATTGAGCTGATTAGAATAAATAAACATACATAAATGAACTAATGTAATATAAAACTATTTTAGTGTATATTTGTATGGAAACGACAGATGACTTTTATCTCTACATCTAACGCTTGCAAAAATGAACAATATTTTTTTCAATATAAGAGTTTTAACAAGGCTCTGTAATATAAATATAAATTTAACGTATAAGACGGGCAACAAGAGCCAAATCGCGGATGACAATGCGTTATCCTAACGAAACTAAATAATTTTCCGTTAGAATTAAATACCGGTGCACAAGGCACCAATTTTACTTGGACACGGCCAAGATTTTAAATATGAAATAATCTCATATTTGAGATTAATTTCAATACCCCTTTTAACCCCCTGTGTTTGTTTACCAACATTAATATATATAACAGAGAAAAGTATAGAATCGAAAGGATCTGAATAACTCAGCTGGAAGAGCAGTCGCCCGGCAAGCAAAAGGTCTCGGGTTCGATT